CCCAAGTTAACATTTATAGGTGGAGTGCAGCACGGAGGGGCTCGTTGCATTCAAATGCGTTTAATGCCGACTACGCGAACAAACTTCAGGTTTGCTTCGACATGAGATGATGGAAGTTCTATACACAACCTTGGTGTACCTGTTCATGTTCTTTGATTTCACTGGATATGGTATTTCATGCGGCGAATGAAACTCGTACAAGCCGTCCCTTACATGTGTGTTCGTGCTGTGCGCCTACGAATATACCGTTCTTGTTCTGCTTAAATGTCTGGTATAAGTACCGCGCAATAACTTTGGCCGACGTATGCTAGTCTTTATCAATAAACGTTCGTCAGGTTGTTGCATGTTTTCATAGCAGTCGTGGGCTCGGTATGTATATCGCAGCATAGGAACTGTTTCTTGGAACAAACCATTTCCAAGTCAATTTTTGCTCCGGCTTCCAAATAGCATGTTCTAGTTGGTTCGAGTTGAGAGTTGGTCGTGCGCCAATGGCACAGCCAAGAGATCGAAGGTGCATAATCAACTTTGCATAATTCCCAACGAAGTACATTGCAGACACGCGTCTGAGTGCAAGTATTTCAGGCCAAGTCTGAGGTCAAGCCCAGGCACTCTGAGTTTTAATCGAATTTCTGACTCCTTTCTGCAACATTATCTGGGCCGAGTCCGAAGTAAAATGCAGTCGTTTTTCACGACTTATGAGTCTGAGTCTGCGTCTGACTCGTTAGAGACTCAGTCCGCTTCCGAGTTTGGTTTTGAGTCTTAAGGTTTCATCCCGGGTCCATCAGTTCCAAAGATAGTTTTCTACATCATAATTCTGGAGGTGGACATTGCAGATGATGAAAATTGTAACGGGATGGCTATACTTGACCTAACTGACCTCGTTTTAAGCAAACTCGCTGTTAGAATGGAGCTTCGATAGAAGCCAAAAACATTTGCGATCCCTGCACGCACACACACGCACGCTCGCGCACACACACACACACACGCACACACACACACACACACACACACACACACACACACACACACACACACACACACACACACACACATGCACACACACACACACACACACACACACACACACACACACACACACATGCACACACACACCCACCCACACACCCACACACACACACACACACACGCACACACACACACACACACACACACACACACACACACACACACACACACACACACACACACACACACACACACACACACACACGTCTCCTTTTTATTACACCCGAAAATACCTACCACACCCGAATGTAGTGAAGACCAAACATTTGTCCTTCCCTTCCACAATCCGGCCCATCATTTCACCTGCAAGACGTCAAACCGGAAAGAGGGCAGTTGAATGGGGCTTGGGACAGTGCGGCATTGATATCAAGAGTGTGCCCATCGTCAATGATGTGGTTCATACAATTCTTAACATAGCGTTAGGGGAACCAAAATCGCGCTTTCCGGGTGAGCAATAGAAAAATCATCCACATGTACGTGCTGCATTGGACATTGGATTTCATCGAATGGATACCCTTTAACGAATAACAAATTCCCTGAATCGGAGTACTGATTACATGTGTTATGATTTCTGAGTACCAGTTAGAGGCGACGACCAATCGAAGAACGAGCACGTGCTTGTAAAATTGAGGAAGTTTTACTAACCGATACTACTGCATCTTTACCTTTTCAACACTATTTAGCCCCATACAAACCGATGAAATCCAACTGAAATCGGGAGCCGTGAAGAGAACGGCCACAGAGGACATTCCCACGGTCCCTGAGCAAATAAGCTTATATACTGAAACATTTCAGAGCAATCTTGCACAAATTTACAGGATGTTACAAAAGTTGGCATTTGTCTTCCCGTGAGCTAAATTTTGGCTCCGTGCCTGGCCGAAATCAACTGCCATTGTTGAAGAACTCCAACTGGCTGGCGGCAGGAAGGAGGGGGGGGGGGTGAACTCTAGTTCGGCACACCGAAATTTAAAAACATGTCCTCAATAACGCACGTCGAAAGGGAAACGCTGAATTTAAATGTATTCCGTGATGCTGGATGTTTGTTGGGTTTGTATGACATGTTACATAAAATACATCGAAATGGCGATTTAGAGCATTGCGGAAAGCACATTAACTGTTGTGAAGTGGCCGAACGTTGTTGGAATTTAGATCCGCAAATGGTGTGGGATGCGGGCGCACCGTTTTAGGGTTAAAAGGGTTAATCAGCGTCAAGAACTTAGGCATGATGACAATGGACAAATCTCAAGTTGTTGCGTCTTATTTTTTAGTCATGCTAAAAAGTGATGACCTTTGTTTGCTCTTTTTCACAACGTCGGTAAAATTCAAGGCAAGTGTCGGTCTTTTGCCACTAAGGTATCAAGTCAATATATTTTGTTCACGTTTGACCCCTGACTCCTTTTCTATTGCTCATTGCTTGATGCATGCAGGATCTGTTATAATAAAGGATTGATTGTGGTAGCATAGGAACAATAAAATGGCGGACGCTTGGTATCTAAGACTTTAAGTACTTGCCTCTGCTCCAGTATTGCGGAGTAACATTTCTGTGAACTTTTGAAAACGAATGGAAATCGTGCCACTGCGTGATGTACATCACGCAAGCGACAAAAAATAATAATAAAAACGTGACCATGCTTCATGTTGGTGTAGCTATTAGTAACAACGGCCGAAATTCAACCTCTATCTAATGATGCGTTGCTAGCATCCATTTAATTGCTGGAAGCATTTGACAGCCTGTGCAAATACGACTACAGCACGTAACTTGTTTAGCATAGCTTATGTAAAGCAATCAGCCCCTCCCCTCACTGGCCCCGGATCTGCCCCCTGCGGTTAAAATTGATTACTTACATTATTCAGTTTGGTCAGTTTGAAATAACACTATAGTACACTCCACCGCAAGATCTCCTGCATATTGTCAAATAGTCACTCATGCGCGCTTTTGTGTCTGACGATGGAATGCGGAACCGGATAGGCGACAGTTGATGAGCCATCACACGCCACGTGAGCAATGGTTGTCCACTCATTATCGTCTTGCCAAAAGCCTGCTGTCCTCCACACCCTGATGTGTCTGCTCAGTCTGCAATTATAACGTCACATCACGTCAAACAACAGCTGCTTCGGTTGCCACAGCTCGGAGAGCGGCTGCAAGTCACACACGCTGACGGCGCTTCGCCAGCCATCGTTGCACCCGCTGCCTGCGCAGGTAGTAGAGGTGCCGATTTCTAGAAGGTCGCGTCCAAAGTCCATGGTTGGACCAACAAAAATCCAATCGCTGCAAGACACCAACCTACTGCGGGTACCCGTTCAGGTCCTGAAGTAGAAGCAGCTCAAGAAAGACCGCCCAAAGCCCACCAAAATGCGTCCAAAAATCAGTTTCTTCATATATTTTCAATCCACCTAAAAAACATAAAACCACCACCACACACAAGCAATAACTCAAGCCACACCTCTCAATACATTCCTTCACATTATCCGAATGATAAGAAATAAAATTATCGTCTGCAAGTGAGGCGCATCCTGCATATCAATATACGACACGACAGAATGATATCGACCATCCAGAAAAGTCCGGATATTTGTATCCACGTCCGTTCAATTTCCAATTTGATTTTAAGATTTTTCAAATTTATAATCTAATCTGCACCTGTTTCTGGGAGCATGCGCGGAGGTGTGCACGGAGCCCAGACGATCTCGCGGGTGGGCATTTAGCCAGCGGCAAGAGCTGTGAAGGTCGCCGTCGGCTGTCGGGGCAGGGAATGGTCGGCATGGTGGGGTAGCTCGCCCGCGCGACGTCACCGCTGACGGCAGGGGAGCTCGCCCGCGCGACGTCACCGCTGACGGCAGGGGAGCTCGCCCGCGCGGCCTCGCCGCTACCGCCGCTTATAAGGCCCGGATCTGGAGCTCTCAGCATCAGTCGCTTGCTGCAGCCGTCCCAGCACAACAGATCTGAGGACCACAGAGCCATGCAGCTGATGAATGGTGTGTGCTGTACTTGCACCAAACAGCGGCCATGTACCGGGAGGCCGAACGAGAGGATTACCAGGCAGACGTGGCACTGGGCAGGCCCCATGACAATCTGATACCCGTAGTGGCTAACGCATCTTCAGCATAGGGAATTCCATCACTGTTACAGAAACATGTCCAGTCGAGGACTTCCAAGTTATCTGTTCTTTACAATCACTGACTAGACACTCAAGCAAGTTCGGGAACTTTAAAATGCGTAGCAAATGTTTGGACAATCATGTGTCGGTAGACAAGGAAGAAAGGAGCTTTGTAGATGAATACTAATTGCCAGAAACAATTACGCATTTGCCAATTGGTAGGGAGAGATTTACTTTGGTTGGACTCCTGAATGACACGTTTTTATTGTCAAACTAGTGCACGTATATCGAAGGCATTGTCCTAACCAACGCGCTGGCTTTTTCCCTAGCTCGTCTTTGCTACACTGGTGGTTGCGGCTGCGACTGTTCCGCAAAACTACAACGCTAATGAGTTTGTGAGGTCTGGACTGCCCGAGATCCGCATTCTTAGCCAGAGGTTCGGTTAGGATCCCAATACTGGAAGCTACGAGTACAGCTACGAGCAAGACAACGGGCAGGCGGTAAGTTTTTGAGGATTTTATTCATATCCATTTCACATGATGACACTGAATTCCTCATCTCGTGAGCCGTTGACACCGAATGACTAAATACGTTTGATTAGTGAGGGAGCATCCATACACTGCCGTACACTGTACATTGCCGGGGATGTACTTGTTAGTCAGGAGGGTAACGTAAGTCACAGCCAAGCCGGGTGCGGTTGGTTTGAGTCTTGCACTTCATGCTGTCCATACTTCTGGGTAAGAGGATACGAAGACTGTCTTTCAGAGTCGGTGAATAAACCACACTTCACATGAAAGAGGCCATCGGTTCTAACTTTATTGTGGCAGCGTCCTTCATCATTCATCACTTCATCAGCCTTCACTGATATTGGGCATAATGCACAATCTGTTTTTGCAGGTGGCTGAGACAGGTCAGGTATACCCTGGACCTGAGCCAGAGACCGGCAGCCTCACCCAGCAGGGCAACTACCAGTTTGTGGGAGATGACGGCAGCACCTACCAAGTCAGCTACGTGGCCAACGAGGGAGGCTACCAGCCGCAGGGTGCCCACCTGCCGGTGGCGTCCGCGCAGATCCCGGAGTACGAACAGCTGAGGATTGAACACCCCGGGCTGTTCTGGGCAGAGCAGCAGCAATGCGTCTAGGAATATCAGTCGTTCAGGCCATCTGATATCATCATCAACCCAGGTTAACGTTTGTAGGTGGAGTGTAGCACCGAGGAGCTCGCTACATTTTAATGCGTTTAATACCCACTACGCGAACAAACTCAAGCTTTGTTAAAAAGTGAGATGATGGAAGTCACATACACATCCTTTTCTTACATTCGTGTGACTCTCTTCCTTGCGATTGTATTATACGCCTACAGGTTTCCTTGGTGTCCCCTCAAATGCCGTGAATGAATACTGTGTGATGTCTTTGTGCGATGCATGCTAGTTGTTATCAATACACTTACGTAAAGGTGTGACGTGTTTCATAGCAGCCATGAGCTCGATTTTTTAATTGAAGCAGAAGGACTTGTTGTTGGAGCAGAGCACTGAAAAGTGAGTGCTTTGATCCAGTCTGCAAATAACATCATGTTTTGACGTGCTGAAGGTTTGATGTGCACCAAGGCATCAGACATGGAAGGATGATGGAAGTTCCATTGTTCTGAATAAGCACACTGCACTATGGGTCATAGTACAAGACATTTAGCTCAAGGCCGAGTTCGGGTCCTGGTGTTCGGAGCTTGAATCGAGTGTTTTACTTTGTTCGGTCAACATTAAACAAAAAGGGTGCATTAAACAGTCTACGGTCAACTGCAGTTATTTTTACAGCCAATGGCTTGGAGTCTGCGTTCGAAAACTTTGGTGGATATTGTAGCTTATGGAGCTTGTAACGAGTAGACATGCATGTAGCCTAACTGGCCTTAGCCTGATGTTAACTCTACCATCATGGGGTTCCCATAGTAGTCAAGCAGATGTGTCATTCCTACCACACGTCCATTCCCCTCCTAATTTCTACACCTGAAGACAGCGATTGCCGTACATAGGTGCTTCCCTTTTGCTTTCTGCGCGTTATTCCACCGGTAGGACGTCAAATGGAAAAACACAGGGTCAGTTTAATAAAGCGTAAAGCGCTGACCCAAACACAACGTTAATTTCAAGGTAAGCAATGAAACAACAGGCTATTTCCAAATTTCCTGCACCTGAGTTCTGGTTATCAAAACTTAAGTGCACGAATGTGAAGGGCTCGACAATTCTTTTCTCGGCCCGGATCATCACATGGGTCATGGAATTGCAACATTTGGGTGACGTGATTATGACGTTATGAATGCCAAGGTGACATTGAAATACTCTCCCCGCAATAGTCTTCCCATCTTCGCGGGCGTGTAGCTCAGAAACTAGAGGGATTTAGCTCTGAAGAAGGGCTGGGCTGTGAACTGCATCGAATGATCTTCAAGATGCCTATTTCGATTCAGAATGTCATAGAAATGAGGAAAACTCCCCTCGAATCAGATTACGAGCGCGTGCCCATAATCTTAACAAAGTTTTTCTGGCCGATACTCCTACGTCTTACATCATCTACCTACTACTGTTCAGCATATAAGTATCCACACATAAGGTGGCTGACCTACGGCAGGCCAAAGGCAGGCCATGCATTTGTTTTCACCAAGTCATAACTTTACTGCCGATGTTGTCAAGCTCATACGTTATGCAGCGCATAGTTCCAGAAATTAGCCAGTCATCCATTCAGGACTTCGACGTGCCATGAAAACATTTTTGAATGCCTCTTCAAATGGCCTCTAATGTGAAAAAACAAAACCTGTTCCAAGCGAGCGGCTACTCCAAACAACTTAGACGTCGCCTTCACCGACAAGTCACATAACAACATCGACTGGAAAAACAACGCCATAACAAACGACAGCAGCAGGAACATCATCATCAACATCAACAGCAACATCGTCAACATAAGCAGGCACACCATCGACACTAATGAGACAAAGACCTGAACGACTATGATACGTTATCATACTTGGGTAAAGCTGTGTGCAAAGATAGAGTCAGTTTTAAAACGTGCAAGATAAAATAAGTTGCCAAAAATTTAGCCTTAATGTTATTTCAGCATGACAAAACCAAAATACTTTGAAACACAATCTAATCCAGTCGGCTTTCTCACCACGTCATTGTCCATCCGGCACCCGAACTTGCAATGCGTGTATGCCTGGTTTACAAGGCAAATGCTTGACATCTGGTGTTGTGTATATAAAAAACCTGTTTGAGATTTGAGGGTGCGTGTGAAAGTTTACCTTATGCTGGGAAATCAAAAGACCCCTTCAGCTACGGTTTAACGAGCAGGCCATAGGCACAAAAACAAAGAAACAAAATAAAACTCCTGAGACTCCCATTAACGACTATTTTCTTTTTGCACACCAAAACTATCAGATGCGGCGTGATGAGAACCCCATACTGTAAGAATTTTGCAAAAACCAAACACCACCCGCATCGCAAAATGAGTCAATGAATCCACATACTCATGATAAAACCCTTTCTTAATAGAAAAATCTCATCCTGGAGAAAAATGCAGTCGTTACCTCTACACGGCTAGTGGCGGATATTACCACGTCTTATACTTCTATGTGAACTCCATGCATGCTTTGACATGTCTGACGCTCGATAGGAATTCAACAAGACAAAGGCACCTGCAAAATCGTATCGCATCGACGTCGGGAAATCCCAATTTTAACTTTTTCATAGATGAAGTCTGTCTCCGAGCCTTGATTTTGATGTCTTCAAGCTGAATACGATAACGAAACCAAGGTCTATCGAATTTATTATTTCGAGCTAGATTCATTAGATTCGTTGGTCATTAAATTCTTTAGACAGTTCGTCCTATCTTCTGACATTGCCCAACCACGGACGTCATCATAACTTTCTTTATGTGGTGGGGCCGGAACTCAGTCAGCACTATGGTAAGCAATCAAAAGTAAACACTATGGCGCTCAAGTAAAGAACATGGGCATCGGGGGATGGGGGGGGGGGGGGGGGCTAGCAGTTACTACGTCCCTGTGCCGAATTTCTAGTTTCTAGCGCGGCTGCTACCACCGTCCACAGGCTATCCCACAAAAAGCAAGCCCCGAAAGCCACTTAAACTCACCCTGCAACTGGTGGGTGAATGAAAACTCAGGCGATCTAGAAAAATGAGCTGTTGGGACGGGCTCCGTCACTTGAATCGAATAAAAAGAAAGTAGATGGTCGTCGGTGAGAGACGTACAGCGTACATCTCATGATGTACATTGTGCATCATGCATACCAATTTGCAACACGAAAGAATGACAACGTTTGTTAAAAAAAACAGATATTTCTGCCCCTGTTTCTGGAATGTCCAATTTGAACTTATGAAATTTCCAAACTTGACAAAATTTGTAATTAAATCGGTGCTATGACCTGAACGGAGGCACAGGCATTCGCGAAGCTCGGACGATCTCGCGGGTGGGCAATCAGCCGGCAATAATTACTGACAAGGTCACCGTCGGCTGGCGGGGCAGTGATAGGTTGGCACGGTGGGGTAGCCCGCCGGCGCGGCCTCGCCGCTGCCGCCGCTTATAAGGCCCGGAGCTGGAGCTCTCGGCATCAGTCGCTTGCTGCAGCCGTCCCAGCACCACAGATCTGAGCACCACAGAGCCATGCAGCTGGTGAGTGGTGTGTGCTGTAGTCGCCCGAACAGCGGCCATGTACCGGGCGACCGAACGAGAAGATAAACAGACAAATGCGGTATGGGGCTCGTCCCATGCAAAGCTGCTGCTCGTAGTGTTTAATGCATCTACAGGCTAGGGCATTGAATAATTGCTACAATAACATGCATAGCCAAGGACTTTCAGTTGAGTGGTTCTTTTCAATAATTGACTGCGTGTTCTTGGGAACGTTCCGGAGTTCCAAAGGCATAAGAATAGTTGTGCAGTCCTATGCTGATAGCTCATGAGAAGGCAGCTTTTGTAGCAGCAGCAAAAAAGGGCAGCAGCCATGAAGCCTTTGCTGATAGGTAGGGATAAATTTCCTTTGAGTGTTCACTAAATGATCCTTTTTTCTTGTCAAAATGGTGCACATATATCGCAAGCACTGCCCCAACTGACGCGCTGGCCTTCTCCCTAGTTCGTCTTTGCTACACTGGTGGTTGCAGCCGCGGCTGCTCCGCAAAACTACAATGCTAATCAGTTTGTGAAATCTGGGCTGCCCGAGATCCGTATTCTCAGCCAGAGGTTCGATCAGGACCCCAACACTGGAAACTACGAGTACAGCTACGAGCAGGACAACGGACAGGCGGTAAGTTTATGAACAGTTTATTCCTCCTCATTATGCGTTATGCCTTGTGTACTACTACTCTGGCGAACTGTTCATCTTCATGACTACATGTCTGCGATTAACGTAACGAGTCATCTGCACACATTGCAGGATTGTATTTGATAGTCAGCAGTGTAACGTTAAGTCGCAACCAAGGCGGTTTTGGATAGTCTGAATCTTGCAATTTAGGCAGCGGATTCTTACGAGTGAGAGGATACGAAGGCCGACTAAGCGAATGGGCGATTAAAGCCCACTTCACATGCAAAGGGAATGCGTTCTTCCTTCAATGCCGAAGCTGTCTTCCAGCTTATGCGGTAGTAATGCAGCGCATAGTCTCAGCCTTTAGTGATAACACATATCATATGCATGCTTCCTTTGCAGGTGGCTGAGACAGGTCAGGTATACCCTGGACCTGAGCCAGAGACCGGCAGTCTCACCCAGCAGGGCAGCTACCAGTTTGTGGGCGATGACGGCAACAGCTACCAGGTCAGCTACGTGGCCGACGAGGGAGGCTACCAGCCGCAGGGCGCCCACCTGCCGGTGGCGCCCGCCCAGATCCCGGAGTACGAGCAGCTGAGGATTGAACACCCCGAGCTGTTCTGGGCAGAGCAGCAGCAATACGTCTAGGAGCATCGCTTGTTCAGACCCTCTGATAGTAACATCAACCCAAGTTAACATTTAGAGGTGGAGTGCAGCACGGAGGGGCTCGTTGCATTCAAATGCGTTTAATGCCGACTACGCGAACAAACTTCAGGTTTGCTAAGACATGAGATGATGGAAGTTCTATACACAACCTTGGTGTACCTGTTCATGTTCTTTGATTTCACTGGATATGATATTTTATGCGGTGAAACGCTTGCAAGCCGTCCATTACCTGTGTGGTTATGCTGTGCGCCTACAAATACCGTTCTTATTCTGCTTAACTGTCTGGTATAAGCAACGTGCAATAACTTCGGCCGATGTATGCTAGTCTTTATCAATAAACGTACGTCATGGCGTGGCATGTTTTCATGGCAGTCGTGGGCTCGGTATGTATATTGCAGCATAGGAACTGTTTCTTGGAACAAACCATTTCAAACGAGATGTTTGCTCCGGCTTCCAAATAGCATGTCGTATCGAATTGAGACATGGTTGTACACAAATGGCGCAGCCAAGAGATCGAGATGTGTAATCAACTTTGCATAATTCCCGACGAAGCACATTGCGGACATGCGTCTGAGTGCAGGTTTTTCAGGCCAAGTCCGACGTCAAGTCCAGGCGCTCTGAGTCTTAATCGAATTTCTGACTCCTTTTTGCAACATTAACCAGTCCGAGTTCGAGGCAAAATGCAGTCATTTTTCACGGCTTACGAGTCTTGATCTGCGTCCGACTCGGTAGAGACTCAGTCCACTTCCGAGTTTGTTTTTGAGTCTTATGGTTTCATCCCGGGTCTATCAGTTTTAAAGATAGTTCCACATCATGTTGTTGGAGGGCGCATTGCAGATGATGAAAAATGTAACGGGTTGGCTATAATTGGCCTAACTGACCTCGTTTTATGTCAATCTCACTGTCAAAATAAGGCTCCAGTAGAAGCCAAAAACGTTTGCGATCCCTGCACGCACACACACGCACGCACGCACGCGCACACATCCCCCCCCTCCCCCCCCCCCCCACACACGCCTCCTCTCTATTACACCCGGAAATATCTGCTACAGACGAAGATAGTGAATGCCGAACATTTGTCCTTCCCTTTTGCTTTCTGCCCATCATTTCATCTGCAAAACGTCATACAGGAAAAAGGGCAGTTAAAAGTGGCTTAAAGACAGTCTGGCATTAATATCAAGAGCATGCCCATCGTCCATGATGTAGTTCATACAATTCTTAACTTAGCGTTAGGCGAACCAAAACTGTTTTTCCGGGTGGGCAATATAAAAATCATCTACCTGTACTTGCTGCATTGTTCGTTGCATTTGATCGAATAAATACCTTTTAACGAATGGCAAACTCCTTGCATCTGAGTACTGATTATAAGTGTCCTGATTTCTGAGTACTAGCTAGAGACAACGGGCAATGGAAGAACGAGCACGTGCTTATAACCGTTAGGAATTTTCACTGACAGATACTACTACATCTTCACCTTTCCAACACTATTCAGCCCCAAACAAACCGATGAAACCCAACTGAAATCGGCAACCTTCGTGACCATGCTTCATGTTGATGTTAGTCCATAAATTCTTAACCTAGCGTTAGGCGAACCAAAATTGCTCTTTCCGCGTGAGCAACAGAAAAATCATCTGCATGTACGTGCTGTATAAGACTTCGCATTTCATCGAGTGGATACCTTTTAACGAATGGCAAATTCCCTGCGTCTGAGAACTGATTATAAGTGTTCTGATTTCTGAGTACCAGTCAAAGCCAACAGGCAATCCTAGAACGAGCACGCGCTTATGAGATTGAGGAAGTTTTACTGACCGATACTACTACATCTTCATCTTTTCAACACTATTGAATCCACTGAAGCCCAATGAAACCCAAATGAAGTCAGGGACGCCGTGAAGGGAAGGACCACGGAGGATTTTCCCACGGTCCCTGAACAAATAAGCTTATGTGCTGGACGATTTCAGAGCAATCTCACACAAATTTGCAGTATGTTGGCAACAACTTCGCGTTTGTCCTCCGATGAGCTAAGTTTTGGCCTCCTGCCCGGCCGAAATCAACTGTTGTCGTTGAAGGACTCGAACTGGCTTGCGGCCGCGGGGGGGCAGGTGATCTTTAGTTTAACACGCATTAAGTTAAAAACATGCTCTCATTAGCGCACTCAAAAAGGGAAAGGTGAAAAATAATTTGTGATGCTGGATGTTTGATGGGTTTGAATGATATGTTTCATAAAAGACATCGAAACTGCCATTTAGAGCGTTGCGCAAAGCACATTAGCTGTTGTGAAGTGGCAGGACATTGTTGGAATTTAGGTCCGCAAATGGTGTGGGATGCGGATGCATCGTTTTAGGGTTAAAAGGGTTCATTAGCGTCGATAACTTAAGCATGATGACAATGGACAAACCTCAAGTTGGTGCGTCTTGTTTTTTCAGTCATGCTAAAAAGCCATGAGCTTTAATTGTTCTTTTTCACGTCGGTAAGATTGAAGGTGTCAGTTTTTTGCCACTCAAGGTATTAAGTCAACATATTTTGTTCAAGCTTGACCCCCTGACTTCTCTTCTAATACTCATTGCTTGATGCATGCAAGATCTGTTATAATAAAGGGTTAATTGTGGTAGCACAGAAACAATAAAACGGCAGAAGCTTGGTATCTAAAACTTAAAGTACTTGCCTCTCCTCTTGTATTGTTGAGTAACATTTTTGTGCACTCCTGAAAACCAATCAAAAATCGTGCCACTGTGTGATGTACATCATGCAAGTGGCAAAAAAATAATACAAAACGTGACCACGCTTTATGTTGGTGTAACTGAAGGAACAACGGCTGAAGCTCACCTTTATCTAATTATGTGTTGCTAGCATGCATTTAGTTACTGGAAGCATTTGGCATCCTGTGCAAATACGACTACAGCACGCAACTCGTTTAGCATATGTAAAACACTCATCCTCTCCCCTCACTGGCCCTGGATCTGCCCCTGGCGGTTAAAATTGATAACTTACATTACTCAATTTGATCAGTTTGGAATAACACAATGGTACACTTCAGTACAAGATCTGCATATCGTCAAATAGTCATGAGCGGCACACTCGGCTTAAAAAAAAGATCGTCCTCCGATGGAGCTGAGATTAGTACTGATCGAAATCATTTCAAATTCACACAGGGTAGCTCTACGCCCTGATCTGAGGCACCCAGGCCGTGACCCTCTGTTTTGAGGTCGGGCTACTCCCACGTTTCTATGTGTTGAACGGTGTAATGCGGAACGGGATAGGCGACAGCTGATGAGCAATCGCACGCCACTTGAATCATCGTCGTTCATTCATTACCGTCTTTCCAAAACCCTGCTGCCCTCCATACCCTGATGTGTCTGCTCAGTGTGCACGTGTGACGTCACATCACACCAACAATAGCTGCGTCGGTTGCCACAGCTCGGAGAGCGGCTGCAAGTCACACCGTTACACGCTGACGGCGCTTCGCCAACCATCGTTGCACCCGCCGCCTCCACTGGGAACAGGAGTGCCGATTTCAAGAAGGTCGTGTCCAAAGTCCATGGTTGAAACGGCAAAAATCCAGCCGCCGCAAGACGCCCACCTGCTGCGGGTACCCGTTCAGGTCCTGAAGTAGAAGCAGTCAAGGAGAGACCACCCTAAGCTCACAAAATGCGTCAAAAAATCACCTTGTTCATATATTTTCAATCCTCCTAAAAAGCACAAAAACACTACCACATACAAACGATAACTCAAGTCACGCCTCTTAACGTATTCCCTCACTTTATTGGAATGTTAAAAAATAAAATTATCGTCTGTAAGTGAGGTGCATCCTGCATACCAACAAGCGACACGACAGAATAATATCGGCTATCCGAAAAGTTCCGAATATTTGTATGCATGCCCGTCCAATTTCCACCTTAGTTTTTCTGGATTCCTCAAATGTATAACCTAATCGGCACCTCTTGCTGGGAGCATGCGCGGAGACGTGCACGGAGCTGGGACGATCTCGCGGGTAGGCATTTAGCCAGCGGCAAGCGCTGTGAAGGTCGCCGTCGGCTGTCGGGGCAGAGAAAGGTCGGCACGGCAGGGGAGCCCGCCCGCGCAGCATCGCCGCTGCCGCGGCTTATAAGGCCCGGATCTGGAGCTCTCAGCATCAGTCGCTTGCTGCAGCCGACCGAGCACCACAGATCTGAGCATCACAGAGCCATGCAGCTGGTGAGTGGTGTGTGCTGTAGTCGCCCAAACAGCGGCCGTGCACGGGGCGACCGAACGAGGATTAACAGGCAGACGTGGCACTGGGCAGGCCCCATGACAATCTGATACCCGCAGTGGCTAACGCATCTCCAGGATAGGGAGCTCCATTATTGTTACAGAAACATACCCAGTCGAGGACTTTCAAGTTATCTGCTGTTTCCAATCACAGACTGGATAACCAGGCAAGTTCGGGAACTTCCAAATGCGTAACAAATGTTTGGGCAATCACGTGTTAGTAGACAATAAAGATAAGAGTTCTGTGGATTAAAACGAATTGCCAGAAGCAATTACGTATTTGCTAATTAGTAGCCAGAGACTTCTTTTGGTTGAACTCCCAAATCACGCGTTTTCTTGTCAACATGGTGCACATATATTGCAGGCATTGTCCTAAATAACGCGCTGGCCTTTTCCCTAGCTCGTCTTTGCTACACTGGTGGTTGCGGCTGCTGCTGCGCCGCAAAACTACAACGCTAATGAGTTCGTGAGGTCTGGACTGCCCGAGATCCGCATTCTCAGCCAGAGGTTCGATCAGGATCCCAACACTGGAAGCTACGAGTACAGCTACGAACAGGACAACGGACAGGCGGTAAGTTTTTGAGGATTTTATTTCACTCATTTCACATGATGACACTGGATTTCTCATCCGGTGAACTGTTGACACGTTCTGACTAAATACGTTTGATTAGGGAGAGAGTCATCCGTATACATTGCCAGCGATGTACTTGTTAGTCAGGAGGGTAACATAAGTCGCAGCCAAGCCGGGTGCTGTTGGTCTGAGTCTTGCACTTCACGCTGTCCATACTTCTGGGTATGGGGATACGAAGACTCACTTTTATGATCGGTGCATAAATCACACTTCACATGAAAAAAGCCATCGGTTCTAACTTTATTGTGGCAGTGTCTTTTTCGTTTGTGCGTCGGTTTTGCAGCGCATAGTTCTAGGGATCAGCCTCCACCGATATTAGACATAGTGTGCAATCTGTTTTTGCAGGCGGCTGAGACAGGTCAGGTGTACCCTGGACCTCAGCCAGAGACAGGCAGCCTCACCCAGCAGGGCAGCTACCAGTTCGTGGGCGATGACGGCAACACCTACCAAGTCAGCTACGTGGCCGACGAAGGAGGCTACCAGCCGCAGGGCGCCCACCTGCCGGTGGCGCCCGCGCAGATTCCGGAGTACGAACAGCTGAGGATTGAACACCCCGAGCTGTTCTGGGCAGAGCAGCAGCAATACGTCTAGGAAGATCAGTCGTTTAGGCCGCACTGTGATATCGTCATCAACCCAGATTAACGTTTGTAGGTGGAGCGCACCACCGAGGGGCTCGCTACATTTACTTGAGTTTAATGCCGCCTACGCGAACAAACTCAAGCTTTGCTAAGAAATGAGATGATGAAAGTCATCTACACATCCTTTTCTTACATTCGTGCGGCTCTCTTTCTTGCGGTTGTATTGTACGCCTACAGACACTATTGGTGTCTCCTGAAATGCCGTGAATGAGTACTGTGTGATGTCTTTGTGCGATGCGTGCTAGTTGTTACCAATACACTTACGTAAAGGCGTGACGTGTTGTCATGGCAGCCACGGGCTCGATTTTTAAATTGAAGCGGAAGGGCTTATTGTTGGAGCAGAACACTGAAAAGTGAGTGCTTTGTTCCAGCCTGCAAACGTGCTTGCTTGACGTGCTTGCCAGCCAGCTTGACGTGCTGAAGGTTTGGTGTGCACAAAGATATCAGATATAGGAAGGATAATGGAAGCCGCGTTGTTCTAAATAAGCACACTGCATTATGAGTCATAGCACATGACATTTAGTTCAAGGCCGAGTCCGAGTCCTGGTGTTCTGGGCTTGAATCGAGTTTTTTACTTTATTCGGTCATCATTAAATAGCCCGGGTCTACGGTCAACTGCAGTTATCTTTACAGCTAGTGCTTTGAAGTCTGCGTTCGAAACCTTTGGTGGATATTGTAGCTGTAGCCTAACTGACCTTAGCCTGATTGTAACTCTGCCACCATGGGGCCCCAATAGTTGTCAAGAAGATGTGTCGTTCCTTCCACACGTCCATTCCCCTCCTAATTCCTACAACCGAAGACGGTGATTGCCGTACATAGGTGCTTCCCTTTTGCTTTCTGCACATCATTCCATCAGTAGGACGTCAAATGGAAAAAAACACAGGGTCAGTTTAATGAGGCGTAAAGACAAGGTGGCATTGATATCAAGATATTGATATCATATTGTGGTTCATAAAATCCTTGTCCTGACGTTAAGCCAAACACAATGTTAATTTCAAGGTAAGCACTAAAACAACAGGCTATTTCCATATCCCCTGCACCTGAGTGCTGGTTATTAAAACTCAAGTGCAGGAAATGTGAATGGCTCGACATTTCTTTTCTCGGCCCGGATCATCGCATGGGTCATGGAATTGCAACATTCTAGTAACGTGATTATGACGTTATGAATGCCAAGGTGACATTGAAATACTCTCCCCGCAATAGTCTTCCCATCTTCGTGGGTGTGTAGCTCAGAAACCAGAGGGACTTAGATCTGAAGATGGGCAGGGCTGTGAACTGCATGGAATAATCTTCAAGATGGGTTTCCAATTCGACATGTCATAGGAATGAGGAATACTCCCCTCAAATAAAAAAAAACGAGCACGTGCTAATAATCTTTACAAAGTTTTCCCGGCCGATACTCCTACGTCTTATATCACCTACCTACTTCTGTTCAGCATATAAGTATCCACACATAAGGTGGCTGACCTACGGCAGGTCAAAGGCACGCCATGCATTCAGGGAAGACAATTACTTTGGAACCGTTCCCTATGATGCAACGACAGAGTGCTGGATGAAACCATACATCTATGAAATACTTTCTTAAGCAACACATCATCTGAGCTAGGAAGCTTTATCGACCTAGGATCAGTTATGAAGATCAGATAATGTCAGAACCTTTTTTTTACTCTAGAGCTTGCTATATTGCATAGGCTGTGGTGCTCATTTAAGTAAAAAAAATGTTCATCCAATTTGCTTGGCAATCGGCATCGTAACGAATCAAAAATAAACATCTATGGCGCTCAAGTAAAGACATAGGCATCGGGGGGCGGGGAGGGAGACAGTTACTACGCCCCTGTGCTGAACCTTAAGCGTGGCTGCTACAACCAGCTACAGGCTATTCCAGTCAAACAAAAAGCAAACCCTGAAAGTTACTCAACTCACCCTGCAGCTGGTGGGTGAATGAGAAGTCAGGGGTTCTAGCAAACTGAGCTGTTGGGGCGGGCTTTACCGCAATGCTCACTTCAAGCCTAGAAAACTTCAGGCAAGAAATACTTGCTGAGGACCTGTAGCTGTTGCTATTCAATTGCCATGTAATGGTTGTTGTTGGAGACCACTGCCAGCTTACCGTACAAAAGGTGTAAAAAACAGAGTGTCTATTCTTGTTAAGTGTTTGTGCATAAAGTTACCACTATGTACAACCGATAGCCTAGACACCACTGGCATCGCTGGATTCTGCCACTCGAATCAAATGAAAGTAGATGGTCGTCGGTGAAAGATGTACATAAGGGTGTGTCATCAGTAACAAAAGCAGCGGAGACAAAGAAATTGTTTGGCGCAGGAGTCCAAAAGTACACGGCATAGCAAAAGTTCTTCCCAAAAACTTAAATTTGTGAGGCGCGAGTCGATCAAAATGTCCCCGAAAACCGATGCCCGGCGTTGCAGTCACCCTACGCTGAACGACGTGCTCTGCCGCAGGTAACACCAATCCGTTGGTGGCAAGCGGCATAAAATATATTTGCGTATAGAAACGATGACACCGAGCGCTCGTTAAGCCGTCGTACGAGAATGTCCCGGTATAAGGCCTAACATTCGGTGGAAACATTGCCCGATTGATTGTCTTTTGGCGGAAACTCTATGTGCTGTTGAGTATGAACTCGTAGGAGCATGCTGGTTAGAATTGCTATAGACTTTCACTTAGCTGAGACAACTCACGTGATGCAAAAAAAAACTGTGTATAAACTGTGTATGAAACAAACTCCAGCTCCAGCTCCAGCCGCAGACGTCCTTGGCAGTGCGGCGCTGCGTCGCACTCCTAGTGTGAACCAGATGGGGCAAAACAGCCAGCGGTGACTGCACTGCACTACCAACCTAGGCTTGAATGCCACAACGTCCCTCCCCCAGATCTCTCCGACACAGGCCGCGCCTTCCAAGCTCAGCAGCAGGTGGAGGAGGTTCGGCTCGTTGCCATGCAGCTGTCAGATTAACCTGTGTACGGGTGATTCGGTGGCCAGCTCAAACAGTCGGAACACGCCGCCTATTGTTTCGGATTTGACGGCCGTGCCATCGCAGCCGAGCACATTGATGTGACCGTCGCACTGCGGGCTCACTGAGCGTAGCCCGTTGAACAAGTGCAGGGCGCGGCCGAAGTCGGACGTAAAATGAGTCACGTAGCGACTGCCTGGCTCAGTGATGACAACCACGTGTTTTTCGACGGCATTCGTCTGGCTCCGTGTGGCTCATGTAGCTCCTACCTTCGCGGCCGTCGGAGTAGAAGATGTCAAACCTTACTTGTGGGTTTCTTCACTCCTTTCTCGCTCTGTCTCTTACACAGCAGATATTCTTAGGATCTACGATATTTGATTTCAAGTAGCCAGCCCGTCTCTGCTGTCTTGTTGAAAGGCGTCGATAATAACAGCAGCGGCCCGGTTCGAGTCACCGTAGCTGTCAACCACCAGAGCGGTGCTAGTCAGATCGTTAGCGTTATAATGTACAGTGACAGTGGTCTCAACCGGAAAAAACAATCGGCGTCGCCGCCACCTTCTACCATGTACGGAATCGTGTAAGAGTCCGTGCCCTCGGCTGAGTCGTCAGCGCTGGAACCACTTAGTGCCGGAGAGGGCTCGGGGTCAGCACTAGCCGCCAGCGCTGGCTCAGCAGGTGGCGCGGGCTCAGCAGCTGGCAGGGAAGGCGACTCAGGTTCGGCAGCAGACACCGCCTCACTGGCGGCCGAGCCACGACGCCCCTGAAGTTGTTAGGCCATCCTCCGCACCTCGCGAGCCTCCCTTGTCGCTATCGTGCCCCGGTCATATGACCACAGGGTAAGCTTCCGGTGCCTGTACTGTCCCTCATGGCATGTTCCTCTTGATACACCATGTAGACATTCGGGCATGGAAAGCTGCACTGAGGCTTACACTTTCATTTCACGGCATCAAGAACCTTGTTGAATTTCGCGAAGGCGGCGTTGCTGTGTCACTCTCTTTTTTGTTCCATTACTTGCTGAATGCTCTGTTGGAATGATATCAATCCTTCTCGATCAATTTTGTCACGTATTTTAGATCGTGAACAGGGATCGCTCCACAGGTCTACAGCACAATGATATCTGCCATCGTGGTCTTGAAGATGGTGTTAATAAGATTCCTCTCCGAATCACTCAGCCACCTGATGTAGCTCAAGGTTTTCCCGTAGTCGGCAGTTGGTGGTGGGACAGAAGAGCAGTGTGGCCTACCACAAAATGTAATCGGGACTTCTACCTGGACGAAGGCGCGGAGTCATTCGCGGAGCTCGGACGACCTGGCGGGGGCCAGTTAGCCGGCAATAAGTACTGACAAGGTCACCGTCGGCTGGCGGGGCAGTGATAGGTTGGCACGATGGGGTAGCCCGCCGGCGCAGCCGCGCCGCTACCGCCGCTTATAAGGCCCGGAGCTGGAGCTCTCAGCATCAGTCGCTTGCTGCAGCCGTCCCAGCACCACAGATCTGAGAACCACAGAGCCATGCAGCTGGTGAGTGGTGTGTGCTGTAGTCGCCCGAACAGCGGCCGTGTACCGGGCGGCCGAACGAGAAGATAAACAGACGAATGCGGTATGGGGCTCGTTCCATGCAAAGCTGCTGCTCGTAGTGTTTAATGCATCTACAGGCTAGGGTCTTGAATGACCGCTACAATAGCACGCACAGCCAATGACTTCCAGTTGAGTTTTTTTTTCCATAATTGACTGCGTGTTCCTGGCAACGTTTGGAAAATTCCAAAGGTGTAATAATATTTGTGCAGTCTTGTGCTGATAGCCAACGAAAAGGCAGCTTTTGTAGCTTAAAAAGGGTAGCAGCCATGAAGCTTTTGTTCATTAGTAGGGATAAGGTTCCCATGATTGTTCACTGAATGATGCTTTTTTCTTGTCAAAATGGTGCATATATATTGCAAGCACTGCCCTAGCTGACGCGCTGACCTTATCTCTAGTTCGTCTTTGCTACACTGGTGGCTGCGGTTACGGCTGCTCCGCAAGACTACAA